GCGGAAACAAAATAATATCAACTTTAAACCAACGAAATAATACCTAACCTAAGTGTTACAATTTAAAGAAGAATACAATTACCCTAGATTCGATTCCATGAACTTCACAGCACGTCGTCATCCGTACAAGGGTACCTTACCTTTCCTAGAAAAATAAGTGTAGAACATGATTTGAGTATTTTATGATATATTTAGTAAGTAAACTCACTCTTGGGATTAGGAAATGCAATTATATCTAATCATGATTGAGACCTGTCCTTTATTTATCATCATGCCCTTGGTCTCACTTTCAAGTTCAGGCTTAAATTGGATGCGAATTACTGCTCTACATACAACCCTTGCATGTTTACATGGACTCCAAAGCGAGTTCATATACGTATCATTTGACCTAGCCTTCAACTAGTGTACCCTCACGCCACAAAACAACTTGACATAAATCATGGCATATACGTATGATGCAGGTCATAACTTTGTTCTTTCATAAGATAGCTTTCATGAATAACATATTTTGTTTAACAGTATTTCATAATCTTGATATAAACATGTTAACATGGTGTGTGTAGCATAATTTAATGCATTTATGTAAGGACAACGGTCTTAAGCAAGAAATTTCTATACTCTAAAAATTAATTTAAGGATTTAAGACATTTGAAAAATGATTGGAAAAGAAGAGGCGAAGGAAAAAGACAAAAAATGACATTTTAATGACATTTTTTTTCAATCTAGAATGAATTTTAATATGCTCAAGAAAGGAAAAATGACCGCCGAGGATGAAAATTATTTAGAAAAATTTATATTTTTTTGGAGAAAAATAATAATAAAATATTAAGAAAATTAGACATTACCAAAGTAACCCTTAAAATATGGATAATTATGAAAATGCCCTTCTTTCCACAATCACAACTTTCACTATCACCTTTTACACACAATCTATTGAGTCTCAAAAACCAGCCTTGTATCCCTTCAAAATTGGACAAAGTCTAGAATGTTCACAGATCACCACATCAATGAGTCAGTATTAAAATTGGAAGTCAATAGCTAGTTGATCGAAGAGGATGTCTGATGGATTATCTAGAAAATTAATCTCTAAATCGAGACAATGATGGAGATTTAAGCATTCGTGTACGTTTTTCCTATATAGTCTGAAGTTGAGGCAATAGTATGGAACAAGAATCAAGTTGAATCGATCTCTCAATCACAAGCAATAAGGGATTAGATTTTGGGTCTCCTACTCTCAGGTTTCTTCCAAATTGGAGAGCAATTCTCCCTTATTCCCCTTTAAACTTGTTCCTATCGCTTCTAAACAAGGTTGCAAACAAGATTTATGAAGGAATCGAGTATTGAAAATGCGTAAAAAACCATTCCCCCAATCCGATCCGCCATTGAATAACTTCAAAGTAAGCTTGAAAATTAAATCTAGGCGTACACACAAGTTCGTCGACCAAGACAAATTCTAATAAGTTTTTGCACCTCCAAGAAGTATTTTCATAGAAGATCGTGAAGAAAAATAACATCAGGAATGTGCCCAGTGGAAGAAAATCTGTTTCTTGTAGAATTTGGGGGTAAATGTTGAATTCCTATCTACGATCCAAAATTTCTTAGATTAAGAGAATCCAGTTGAGTAACTTTGATGTAGGAATCTAGAGTTAAAACGTTGTAGGATGAACTACCTAAGAAAAGGAAAATTCACGTTTTTAGACGAGTTGTAGACATAGGACTATTTTTCAAAATTAAAGTATCATGCAAAAAGACGTTCCTCCAAACAAATTCTTTTAGCTTGAGGAAACGATAAAGAAGAGGTTCTATGAAACAGTCGGGCCTTGAAAACTCCTAGAATCGGCTACCCAATAATGAATCACAAGAAAATAGATTTGAGACGAACTTTGGAGGCATCCATCTTAGACTACGATCCACGAGAAGGTATGAAATCAATCCCTAGCTCTTCCTTGTAACACCAACTTTATTTTCATGAAGCAATGCAGGGAAGAAACATTTTAAATCAATCCCTAGCTCTTCATTCCAGAGACCGATTCTTATGAAAAAATTTATGGTTCCAGAAATTGCACACAATAAGGAAAATGTGGAAGAAAATTTGAGGTAATTCGAATTCGAAAGCTCGAAAACAGAGGTCCCGAACATCAAGATAAGGTAAGTAGCCATCTTGGACTTTTCTAAAGAAATACTTGTAGCAATAACTTGGATATTTGTATGAATCTGATAGCAAGTATGAATTAAGGGTATATGAAAGGAAAACACAAAGAACCGTGAGTTAAGGCCCTTGATCGATCAAATTGCTCGGGGTTTAAGTAACACTAAAATAACTCCTCTATTTACCTTTCTTAATATAATTTCTATTAAAAAATATAAAATCATAATAAATTTAATAATATTTTTTATTGGAGGTATAAAAACATACCATATAAATAGCATATAAGATCATGTAAGATTAAAAGCTTATTTGACATTTAAATTTATCTAAATTATGCGTTTAGTCCCCAACAAACTTTCAACTTTATATCTATTTGGTCCGTAAACCTAAGTCAATGTCAAATAGATCTCTAAATTTTCATTTTTTTAAGTTCAACATTTTACAAGTAAGAAATTGAACCATCAAACTTTGTGATCTTAATTCATACCCTATCTACTAAATTATGCTTAGGGTAGTTCATACCTTATCTATAAATGGTCAAAATGTATCTAAACAATATTTTGACCCATAACATAATAGGACAAATTGTTTGTTTAGTAGGAGAATTTATGGGTCAAACTAAACTGAGTTTATTAGGAGGGTTGAAAATAAATTAATTTTGTAAATATTTGAATATTTGAGTTTAGTTTGTTCCCCTTTTATACCGGTAAAATTAGGAATTAATTTTGTAAATATTTGAATATTTGAGTTTAGTTTGTTCCCCTTTTATACCGGTAAAATTAGGTTTAATCTCAATTACTCCCATGGAAATGAAAGAAACATGTTATCGTTGTATTGAGATAGGTAACCAGCATATTAACAAATGTTTTTATTTATTTTTAGTAGTATTTTAGTTATTTTCAAAAAACCACCAATGGGAGTTATTGTTAACCATTTGTCATTGGCAGTAACACGTGTTCTAAAGTGTAATGCAATAGTCCATTAAATTTGAAGTTGATGAACAAGGACGTTTCAACATTTTATATTATTGTTGTAAATGAGAGCAATTATCGACATGTTTGGTAACGAGTTCTTATTGTTTATAATAAAAATATAACCATGTTTGATAACAATTTTTTTTAATTAAAAAATATATTTTTGAAACATATGGGTATTATGGAAATGCCACTTGATTTTTTGTTAAGCAAAGAGGATACTATCTCATGTAGACCATTAGGATAGTCCTTGGAGTTTAAGCAACTCTGTGACTACCCTAACCCAAGAAGAGCTCAAAAATAGCACTTTATTAAGCAATTAGGTTACTATTTATGGATAAACTTTAGAATGAGCCTTTAAGCAAAGTGGTTACTCTCTTATGCTTAATAAGTAATTCGGATGCTTCCCTAAATTAGAATGAGTTCCTCTTTAGACCTTGACTTTTAAGTAATTAGGAGACCACCTTAATAACATGTATTAAGTAAGCTTATCACACACGAAAACAAATCCAAAACAAAAGAATGCTAAGAATGCTAAGAACAAAGAACCAAGGTTCTAAGACTCCAAAACAAAAGAAACCCTATTTTTCTCATGGTAAACCATGACTCAAACTACATTGCTTGGAGTGTAAGAAGTCTTCAATGCAAGTTTCAAAGTACGCCACTTGGAATATATGAAGCCTTGAGTATAAGCATTCAAATTATATCGTTTGGAATGTAGAAGGCTTGAGCATAGGTTTCTAGGCAGCGTCACTTGAAACATATGAAGCATATGAAGCCTTAGACGTAGGTTTTAGATTGTGTCGCAAAGAATTCATTAAGCCCTTGATACATGTTTAGACTGTGTCTCTTGAAACACTTCAAGCCTTTTTAGGATCAAATTCTATTTTTTTTTTAATTTTTCATAAAACATGAGATGTTGGTATTTATTTTTAGTTCCCTAGTAGAGAAATACTTTAACTGTTTTCTTAATTTCTCCTTTCTTTTCTTTTTTGTTTTTAGTCTTTTTAAGAAAAATATGACCACTTAAGATCCATTTTCAACTTCTTTTTATGAAAGATTCATTATCTAATTTCTTAGAACATGCCATTCAATTTGGTATTTATTTTTTCTAACCCAATTAAAGACATTTGTAACAAAATTGATGGAATTTTAATTTACCATGGTTTTGACAGTTAATCATTCTTTGGCCTATTTGATTTACATATCAGGTGGGTATCCTCTAGTCAATAGGCTCCACGTTTGGGACAAATCTTATAATAAGCAATTGAAAATTCAATTTGCATACAATTGCACATATAATGAAAAGCGCCCGAGCCTAATGGATAAGGTGTCTTACTTGTGGGTTCGAGTCCCACTGTCTTTCTTTCTTTAATTGATTAATAATTATGTTTTTTTTTTTTTTTTTGAAAGTAGGCTTAAAACTTTACCATCTTAGTTTCTTAAAATTTTGTAGGAGAGAAGATGAGACTTCAAAGAAATAGAAAAAATAAAAAAACTAATTGTAATCTTAAAAAAAATTATTTGAAGGCATTGACGACACACAAGTTACAAATTTCAGACTCGATTGTCTGTGTCCAACTCAAATCGTGACCCGCACCCTATGTGCCTGACCCAATTTGAGATTCATACCACCTTTACGCATGCGACCGCCTCTGCGCGTATGTAGTTTCTTGATTTCGATATTAACCTAATTTTAATGGGATATTAACCAACGAGTGATACTTCTTTTTCCATTTGTTTGACCTTTATTTGTCTGTATTTTCTTGATTTCGATATTAACCTAATTTTAATGGGAAATTATGTCCAACCAGAAGAATTTTAGAAATTTTTGGCACCTATTCTATGGAAACTCGACCTAAACATGATCACTCACATAAAGTTGTTACTACATAGATGACATGATTAATGTGTACGCAAAATATTCATATAAAATATTTCATAAAAGGTGTCGTGGGCTCCCACGTTCCTAATAAAATCTTTAAAACAATAATGCGAAAAATAAATCATGTGAAGTTTAGATAAAATATTGAAAAATAAAAACATTCACGTGAACTTACTAAGGACTACTAAATAGACATAAATTGTGTCTACCCTACCTCTAGTTCCATGGCTTTCGTCACGGCGTCACCATCCGTACCTTTGTGCCTAACCTTTACCTGAAAAATAAGAGTATTACGTGGTTTAAGTAGTTTAAGAAATACGTAGTAAGTAACTGTACATTTGGTGTCTAGAAATACAAACACATGTGACATGATAGGTTCTAATGGCATTGCCTTAGGTAGCTTTCCAGTTCCGGCAAGGTTGGATGTATAGTACTTTTCTACATACGACCGAACCACGAGCACGAGGACCCACCTGAGGGCTCATGTATTGCCTAGGTCTGTCTCAATGGACTAGCACTCGCTAATGTGCTTTCAGACACCATGAAGGGAAAGGGCCTACGTAACATTGGGACGAACATAATTGTCGTAAGTCGTAAAGTACACATTTGTATTAATCATAATAGAAAAGTATCACGATGCATATATGATGCAAAAATTCATGAGGTCTCCATGCCTTAAAATAACGACATAAATTTATAATGCAAGTCAAACCTCCAATTCCATTATAACGTAATTATGCAGACATAATTCTTATCAAATCTTTCATATACACGTCCTAACACATTATAGATTATCATCATAATAACATATTATTATACATAGTATAGTCACACTATAGTCTAGCTTATAAACATGGCATAACACGACATTGGATAGCATAACAATCATAATTATGACATGCTCAAGGGAAACACGTATGCGTTATAATATGCAATACAATTCATCCAACCAAGCAAATAATAGAGTCACTTACTTGATAGGTTTAGCAAGGGTTGTTAGTTTATCTTTGGAGCTAGTCTAATTTGGTGGTGGCTTAATGAGACATTTTGGGATTAATAAAACTTATAATATGTTGCATGAACACTTCTTTTGATCGAAGATGAAGTACGATGTTCACAAGTTTTGTAGTCAAGAATAATTGTTTAGGGATTATGCAAAGCATGTTGCTAGCTTATTCTTTAGGGAAGTAGTAAGATTACATGGAAACCCAAGAATAATTGTTAGAGATACGGATGTTAAACTTTTAAGTCACTTTTGGAATGTATTGTAGGGTAAGTTGGGTACCAAGTTGTTGTTTTCAACTACATGTCATCCTCAGACACATAGGATAGTTATTATTTCTAAGAATATTAAGTTTTGAGACAAAGTTTGCATTTGTAGAGAGAGCAATTCATAGTACCACTCATTGTTTTTTCTTTTTGAAGTTGTTTATGAATTTATTCCACTTACGCTTCTTGATTTGTTTCCTATTATTTCTAATATTTTTTTTGTGAGTGAAGCAGGAAAAGTAAGACAAATTTGATCAAAGTATTGCACAAAGAGGTGAAGGGTTGCTTCAGGAATTAACAAAGAATGAAAGAAAATTATTTTTCAACGATGACTGACTTTGGATACATTTTCACAAAGAGCGATTTACATCTCAAAGAAAGACCAAGTTACATCAAAGGGGATGACCCTTGTCAAGTTCTTGTTCTTAAAAGAATTAATAACAATGCCTATAAAATTGATCTTCTCGGAGAAATTTCAGTATGTTCTATTTACAATGTTAATGACTTGACTCCTTTTGATGTAGGTGATAATTTTCGTGATTCGAGGACGAATCCTTTTGAAGAGAGGGAAGATGAACACGGAGCATTATATACTTTCAAATATATGTATATTCTATGTATATCGAACATTATATACTTTTGTTTTAAAATATCCTAAAAATGCATGTATAAATCATATTCAATATAACTATATTATTAAAATTTAAAAAGAAACTCATTCATGTTATAATATATGTATTTAAAAATAGTATGGAGTGTATGAATAGTTTAAAAATAGTATAAGATATTGAGGTATGAGAAATGTAAAATATATATAATATATATAAAAAAGAAACTAAAATTAGTAATGTAATAAAAGATGAATCCAATTGGAGTCAAACTTACACAGGCTGATTCGCCCAAATCCAAGCTCAGACTGGACTCATGAGATTTCGGTTCTATCAACCCATGCACCAAGGAGAACTTGAATGTTGTACAAGATTTAGAAGCGGCAAGTAATATCTAAAACAAAACTTTTCTTTAGGTAATTTTTAAAATTTCTAGTTTAAAGTACATAAACATATTTTTAAAATTTTTACCAATAAATCTATATAATGACTATAATAATATTTTTGTTATAATGTATTTAAATAAAATATAATTTTAGTAGTGACATAATATTCGATGCCATAAACTTTATTTTAAAATATTTAACCATCTTTTATCATTATTTTCTTAATTTCTTTTTCATTTAAAAAGTGAACATGATTCTAAATAATGAATGATCAAGCTTTTAACTTTACTTAAAAGGAATTAATAAAATAAAAAATCAGTTAAGAAAATTAAGAAAGTTTAGGTGACCATCCCACCCTGTTATGGAATATATGTTGTAATAACAAAAATATACACAACACTTTTAACTAATTGTGTTTAAATATAACCACGTACCACTCATTTTGGCTATATTTATGTATATATATAAGAGATAGAATCCAATTAAGTTTGTAAAAAAGTGTGAACAATCTTGGAGAAGATAATGAAGTCTCTAAGCATATTCTGTTTAATCGTGTTGATTACCTTGGCATCGAACAATACAATGAAGTTTTGTTTTGCAGAATCTAAGTTACAATTACCGTTCTCTCGATGGAAAGTGACTATTTTAAATGGGATGACTGCTTCAACTTTAATTGTTCATTGCAAGTCAGCAAATGACGATCTGGGAGAGCACGTACTCCGCACTGTAGATAATTACAACTGGAGTTTTAAAGAAAATTTTTGGACTTCTACGTTGTTTTCGTGCCATTTTAGTAGCAAATATGGACAAGTTAATGGAGATGTTTTTTGGCCAGTAAAAGGGTATTGGTTTAATGATCAATGTGATGATAATAATTGCATTTGGGCTGGTCGAGAGGAAGGTATTTACTTATATTTTGGATCTCTCAATATATTCAAGTTAATGTATCATTGGAAATGATGCCCTATAACTTTCATTCAATTTCAATAAATAATTTTATGAATAAAAATGTTGGTTATCTTTTTTTGAGGTTAAAAGATTCCATTCTAATGAAATTATATTTTCAAAATTTTAAAACTTATATTATATCTTCAAACTAATTAGTTTGGATAGGATATATAATTTATATATAAAGGATATATAAAGTAGGAAGTTCGATTTAGGAACTTTTAGTGATTGAATAAGGAAAGAGAAGACGACTACTTTAGGTTTGTGTTGCAAGAGAAAAGTTCCAAAATTCTCAAAACTCTAGCTTGACCACAAATCAAATCCAGGAAGTTTTCCTATATAACGACTCGAAATTTTCTATTTAATTTCGCTGATGTATACGAACCATAAACATTGAATATGTAGAAGATTCATTTAAATTCCATCAAACATCATGAGTGGACTTGTTGGGATATGGAGAGATTTGCTACACATATATTTGGAAGATATTTACTAAAGTTGTTGGGATAGGGAGAGATTTGAGAGATGTATTTGGAAGATATTTCATAAAGATAGGATAGAGATATATATGGGAGATAATTGGTAAAGATTGGATAGAGATATATTTGTTAGATTATATGTTTGTTAAATCTTTGGTAAATATCCTATTCTAGCCTAAGTCTAAAAAAATAAATACCACTATCCTATGCATGTGTCATGGTCTCGAGTTGCGATGTCGTCGTCAGCTATACAGGAATACGTTGCCTTAACTTGGAAAATGTAGTAGCACATGACTTGAGTATTCTTGAGTATTTAAAAAAATACTTAGTAAGTGACCCCACTATTGGGGTTAAATGCAAGAACATACGAATGCAATGATGGGACCTATCCTTTCAATCTATTTACATACAGTACTGTCCTAACGGGTAATTTGGACATGTACCATATACTCTACACACAGCCTGTACGCTGACTAGTCAATTCTCACACTGCTTGGCAACTTTCTTTGTCGGGCGAGCATACTCTAGGAGTTCCATAGGCCAGATACCCATTAGAACTAGTAACCGTCATGGCAGCGCTATGCAAAACATAACGATCGTTGTCCTGTCATTAGATGTATGCGTCCGTACCCTCTGATGGAATAGGGGTATCCCCAAATGCATGAGCGCACATAATTGTGGGTCCATACTCGCACGTATGGGGCCATGTTTATAGTATATGGTACACATCCAATCAACCCGTTAGGATAGTATAATAGGAAAATAGACTGTAATGATAGGTCGCATGTTCTTGCATCATAACCTCGATAGGGGGTCGTTTACTGAGTATTCTTAAAACACTTAAGCCTCGCTACTATATTTTTCACATAATGGCAAGGCGCCCCTATAAGACTAACGGAAGCTTCACAACCACGAGTTTGTGACACATGCATAGGATACTTTCGCATAATAATTTAATAGTATAGGTTAGTATAT